GGTAAGGATAGAAGTTTCCCAAAGATTCCAAGGTATCCCTGAATGCCTGAGAGAGGGAAGGGTGCAGGAGGACAGGAGCAGATCACACCGTGGGTTTATTAACACAACTGTGAGTAGTTACTGCCTTTTGCTCGCTCTGTCTTGGCTTTAGAGTGAGTTTTTAACTCCAAAATGCTGTAATTCCCCCATTCCTCTGGGCTGTCAGCTCACAGCACCTCCCCTGTGTCACATTGTACAAAATGACAATTACTGGATGAGAAAAAAATGAGCATTTATTGTGTGTGTGCAGTGTGTGACCTGCCCTGGCTGCAGCGAGTCCAACCCCACTCCAGAAATGAAACAGGGCCAAATCTCCCCCCGCCCCGTGCTCCCACCTGGAGCTGCTGCCAAGCTGCAAACACAGGGAGCTGCAGTTTGCTCCGACCCTTCCCCACACCAGGGGCAGACCCACCCCTGGAATCCCAGCCTTGGCTGTGCCTGGGACTGGTGGGTGAGCAGCTGCAGCTGCTGGAGCCAGAGCAAAGGGGGAAGCAAGTTCAGGTGGAGGTTTTCCTCTCCCTGCAGACACCACCTCCTGCCTCGTTCTCCCTTCCTCTTCCTCCAATTCTCTTTCTCTCAACCCCTCCAGCCACGGTTTTCCCTCTGCCCTGCCCCTGTCTCCTCGTGGCTCTGCTCCCCCTAAAGGTGGAGAAATCCCCTCCTCCTCCTCCTCCACACACTCCCCTGCTCCTTCTGCTTCCTTCCTTCCTTCCCCCAGCCCTGACCCTCCTTCACCCACCTCCAGAGAGACCTTCCCCTCGCTGCAGCAGCTCCTCATCTCCCCAGCCCAGTTCTAACTCAGCTTCCACTCCTCTTCCAGCCCTAATCCAACACCCATTCCTCCCTCTGCCCTCCCCCACCACACTCCAGTTCCTTATCTCCCTTTTACTTTGTCCTGGTTTAGCCCTGCCATCCCTCCCCCTCCTTTACCCTTCCCTCAGCCCAGCTCAGCCCCTTCACAGAATCCCAGAGGTTGGAAAAGACCCTTGAGATCAAGTCCAGCCTGTGCCCCATGCCCACCTTGTCGCCCATCCCAGAGCACTGAGAGCCACCTCCAGGGATGGGTTTTTGGCCCTGGCCCAGCTCAGCCCCTACACTTGACCCAGCCCCACTTGGCCTGGCCCAGGCCCAGCTCAGCTGCCTTCTCCCAGCCCTGGCCTGGCCCTGCTCAGCCCCTTCTCCCAGCCCTGGCCTGGCCCTGCTCAGCCCCTTCTCCCAGCTCAGTTCAACCCTTTCTCATAGCCCTGGCTTAGTTCAGTTCTTCCTCCCAGTCCAGCCCAGCTCAGCCCCTTCCCTTGACCCAGCCCCACTTGGCCTGGCCCTGCTCAGCCCCTTCTCCCAGCCCAGCTCAGCCCCTTCCTGTGGCCCTAGCTTAGCTCAGGTCTTCCTTCCAACCCTGGCCCAGCCCTGCTCGACCCAGCCCAGTCCCTCCTCCTGGTCCTGTCTTAGCTCAGTTCCTTTTCCCAGTTCTGGCCCAGCCCCCTCCTGTGCCCCTGGTTTAGTTCAGGCCTTTCTCCCAGCTCAGCCCCTTGCCTTGGCCCTGTCTCGGCCCAGCCCTTTCCCCCGGCCCTGGCCTAGCCCTATTCCCAGTCCCAGCCCAGTTAACACCACCTCAATTCCAGCCCCACTTCCGGGTTCTCCCGCCCCCGCGCTCGAAATCTCGCGAGACCTCCCCCGCGCGTCGCGTCACGCGGGGCCGGGCGGTTGCATCACCGCAGGCCCCCTCCCACGTGACGTTGGG